TTTTCTCTCACATGTTCTTTCGAGCTTGATGTGTTGGTAGGTACCAAGCTTAACCGAGACTGGTACAGTGACAAAATGATAGAAAATCTAGTCACAAGTTCTGTAACTCGTTAGGGTCGTTGGACCACCACATATACTGAAGCTGTAACAACAGTGGCGTACCACGGGCAAATTAACCAGACGCAGCCCATCCTTTTTCAGGGTGGTTTTGAATTCAGAGTTTCATTTTTAGATTGGTCTGCTCTTTAACCCATAGCGGGGGGAGAAGAATTTGCCAATGGTATATGTGTGAAAGTGAACGTAACGAACTCAACGGAATTCGATCTTGACTCGCCAATTTTTTTTCCGTATTTAGTGTACCTCACTTTCGTAAGATTTCTTCTGGATGTTTCACTATTTAAAAAAAATATTCAGTCTGTCTTATTTTCTTAAAATTTATTTATTCTGGAGGTTGGAACTTGCACTTCAAAGAAAGCCTTGTTCATGAAATCACAATAGTTAGCACAGTTCAGTGTAACTCCTTCATCGATTTTGAATGGTTCAATAAGGTTTTGGTTGACAACTCCAGCTCATAGTATCACACTGCTGCCTTCTAGCTACCTTATTTGAGCCACAGGAACATCTTCATCGGATAAAATCCACCCTTAGATCCAGCCATCAGGTACATCGAGATTAGTCCGTGGAAACTATTTTAGAAGAGTCATTTTCATGTATTTCTTGGCCCAATTTTGGTGCTTTAAAATATTTACTTTAATGATGAGTTTGCGAAGTATTCTACACCTTTTGTCTTTCTTGACTCCCTTAATCGTATCGTGTCCAAAGATCTGAGCATCTGGTCATTTCGTTATAACTCGCATTAGTTTACGTTCACCTTGAGGTGAAAAATTCTTAAAGCCTTTTCCTTTGTTCTCAACTTGGCTACGTTTTCAACAGTCGTTTTTACGTTCGATAATTTCTGCGGATCTCCTTCCACATCTCCAATGTGGACATTCCTTCACTCAATAACTTTATTATTTTCTGTTTTACGGCTTTTGTTATATCCTTTCCATTATTTTTGTATCGAAAGATGACCGGCCTTCACTACAATAAATTGTTGAACACAAGGCCTTTTTATTCACTATGAGAAGAACATCAGCTCAAAGGACTATTAGTCGCAAAGTGTGTCGCACGCATTACCTCACTGATTATAGTATTCGCTGTTATTGTGTTATTAATCCATGTGATTAAACAGTTTCTTCCTAATGTTTTGTTCCAGTGTTTTCATTGTGATATTATTAAACAGAACTACGAGCTTATACGAGAATTATAACAATGGCGACGAGGATTCGAAAGTCACGTGGGAAAAATAATAATTCTGATGTAAGTATTTTTGAATCCAAGTCAACCAAGGATTTGAGAAACGTGCAACATGGAGGACTTAAAAATCATTTTAAAAAGCTTATTGGCACAACAAAATCAGCTCTTCGAATATAGAACAAGAACAACAGCAAGAACTGTTATTGGAACAACAGCAACAGTAAGAACAACAGCCAAACTATTATTGGAATAACAGCAACAAGAACAACAGCAAAAAACTGTTATTGGAGCAACAACAAGAACAAAAATATTATTTGAACAAGTACACCAGATAAAGCAGATATTGGAACAAAAAAAGAGCAAAAACAGTTATTGGAACAAGAAGAAGAAGAACAGCAAAAACAGTTATTGGAAAAGCAACAGCAAAAATCTGTTATTGGAATAACAACAAGAACAACAGCAAGATACTGTTATTGCAACAACAACAAGGACAATAGCAAAAACAACAGCAAAAAGAGTCATTGGAGCAACAACAGGAACAACAGCAAAATAGCAGCAAAAATAGTTATTGGAACAACAACAAAAACAACAGCTAAACATTTATCGAAACAACAAGAATAACAGCAAAGACAACAGCAAAACAGTTATTGGAACAAGAAGAAGAAGAACAGCTACACAATTATTAGAACAACAATAACAAGGACAACAGAAACAAACAGTTATTGGAAAAACAGCAAAAACAGTTATTGAAACAACAGCAAAATATTATTCGAACAACAAGAACAGCAAAAACAACAAAATTATTGGAACAACAACAAAAATAACAGCAAAAACAGTTATTGAAACAATAACAAGAAAACAACAAAACAGTTACTGGAACAACAAGAACAACAACAAAAACGGTTATTTGAACAACAACAAGAACAACAACGAAAACAGTTATTGGAACAACAGCAAAACAGTTATTGGAACAAAAACAAGAACAACACCAAAAACAACACCAAAAACAACACCAAAACAGTTATTGGAACAGCAACATGAACAACAGGAAAAACAATTATTGGAGAAACAAAAAGAACAACAAAAACAACAGCAAAACAGTTATTTAAACAACAAGATCAACTGCAAAACAGTTATTGGAACAACAGAAACAACAGCAACAATGTACACTACAAATATTGGAACATCAGACAAGGATATTTGAAGCAATGTTTCATTAATCAAATGAAACTAGTACTAGACTTTCATTCACGCCTGACGCAGTCGAAAACTCCATTGGTGTTTTTTATTTAACCCTGAAGAACGTGTTACATCTTTGTCATATTACAGAAGATAAGAATGCCAAAGTTGGCCAGATGAATAAAAAGCTGCGTTTATTTTTAAGGAAATTGTGTTGCATTTTACCTGAAATATTACGTTTGATGAAACTGTGTTAATCGTGTCTAAAATTTTCAGTAAAAACAGCTCCTTATTCCATCCACATTGGCAATGCTTAAATCTCACAAAAATGTCGAAGATTTTGTTATTTATGCTGGTATTGTCAATCGAGAATACGAAACATTTAAAAGAAACGATCTATTTCCAGATTTGTTTAATTTTTGTGCAAGGGTTAAGACAGAAATTCGCACGCGTATTCTAACAAAATTTGAGCTTCTTTATATGGCCTGAAATATTTAAGTTTAGAAGATCTACTTTCAATGTAACTGTAAATTTTATTCATGAACTGTTTTCGAGCTTTGGTGTTCCAGATACTATTGTGTCTGATAACGACACGCAATTTACTTCGAGTGACTTTCAGAAATTTTGCAAGTACTATGCAGTTGAATATATAACAATTCTGCCATACCACGCAAGATCAAATGGTCAGGTTGAACGTTTTGTTGATACGTTCAATGCGGCGCTAAATAAATCAAACATGAAGAAGACGCGAGAAGTAATGTTACAACGGTTTTAAAAAAAATAGACTGACCTCTGACCTTAATACTTTATCGAGGATGTCAGTAGCGGAAGAAAAAATTCAAGTTGGCATTATACGAAATTATCTATAAAATCTTTTCAAAACTGGAGATAAGGTTTTCTTCAGAATTTACAAGACAGGAAAGGAAAGTTGGGAAGATGGTGAAATAGTAAATCGTATTGGCAGGATAATATATATGGTACAAGATTGAAATTGGCGACATAAAAGACATTTAAACCAATTAAGACAGATATGCTAAGGAAATAAATCCCAACAAAGAGGTTTACCTACTTTTGACTTTATTTATTTAATTTTTTTTATTTAAGCGTTTCACCCCAAGCAAGGCGGGAAGCCACTAGGACGCAAGGGGCTACAGAAGATTTGGAGCAAGAGCAGATAGGAGTGATAGAAGAAAGGATGAGGAGAAGGGTAGTGGATAGATCAAGGCAAATGGAGATGTCGATTGACATTACATTTGAATAGCTGGAGATTATAGCTCTCAGGGAAACAGGAATAGGGAAGAGAGTTCCACAGGCGAGATGTGCGAGATATGAAGTAGAAGAGTTGGAGTAGAAGAGACGGCTATATTTAATAGTTTCAACAGCGAAAGGGTGAGAGCGGGATGCCAGCTTTGTAGGGCGCTTGAATTCATGAAGTCTGGGAACCAGCGAATGCAGCTCCTCGGAGCAATTACCATGAAAGTATTAGTAAAAAAGACAGAGAGAGTCGACGGCGCGTCTGTGAGAGAGCGACTGTAGACGAGATGCCAGATCAGGGCCAATTATATTGCATATCCGCCTCTTGATTTTATCAAGAACCCCGAAATACTCGAACACAGCGTGTCAATAAAAGAAAAAGAAACCTAAGGAAAGTTTTGGAAGTAAACCCCCAAAAGAGAGAATACGTAATCAAAAGATAATGCGTATCTTAAAATGGGGGGGATTTTGTGTAGATTGACGATCAACCTTCGTTCTACTAAATTGTTGAACATAGACTCTTACAGAGGAAAGTCAGGTCATAGGACCATGATTAGCAGAGTGAGTTGCATGCATTACCTAAAGTATTCGCTATTATCTTATTATTAATACATGAGATTATACAGTTTCTTTAATAATCTTTTGTTCCAGTGTTTGTCTTGGAATATTATTAACCAGAACCACGAAATTATACGAGCATTATAACAATTACACATGTTTCAACATATATTATGGAAAAAAGGAAAAACAAAACAGTTTTTATTAGATTTCAGAGGCCTTAAACTAATATTAGTTTAATCGGCATCATAATTTAAGGCTATCGTTTTTATAATAAAACCAATAACTTTAATAGAACATTTTGAAACTACGTAAAAATTTAACTCCAGCTTTGTTGTGACTTCTAAACTAATTATTTAAATTTTCAAGCCAATTCGAATTATTGAGATTTTTGTGATTTACATAATAACTTCAGACGGGCTGTAAATAAGAACTAGAGGTGATATCCCTAGACATGGGTAGAGGAACGAGAACAATCTCCAAAGTATAGACTGACTAAAGAGTTCAGTTTGAATTTCTTTGAATTCTTTGAGGGTTACACAGATCGACAAACACTTGCTGATGACCGGAGGTCACAACGGTCAAAAGTTTGAGATAAAAAAAACGAAGATGGGGACAGGAGTCCGCGTGCAGGCAATGTAAATAATAACTCATCAAACTAGAAATTCAGACAGAAATTGACTGAATAAAAGTTGAGAAAGCGAGGTGTATTAAATACGTGTCAGAAAGAGAAAATGATCGTTAAATCAGCGACGTAGACTGAATATTAAGAAACTGAAAGAGACAAAACAAATATTAAGAAAGTGAGGTAGATTAAGTAAACGCTAAGAAATGAGAGACAAAACAAATATTAAAGAAGGGTACCTTACTTTCTTAACATTCATTTAGCATGATTCACTTTTTAGCAGTCATCAAGTGTACCTTACATATTTAACATTTAGTGTGGCTCACTTTCTTAACATTCATTTAGTGTGATTCACTTTTTTAGCATTCGTCAAGTGTACCTTTTCTTTTTAACGTTTATTTAGGGTGGCTCACTTTTTAACATTTGAATACAACTCCTTGGGTATGCAAAAGTGTTCAGTTAGAAGCTAAATTTTAATATATATATATATATGTAAGGCTCAAAAGAATTTTGTGAAGCTTTAAAACATCGCATAGTTGAAACCTATAATGATGGAAAAGGCTACAAAAATCTATCAAAACGATTTGGAGTTAACTTTTTCCACCGTGCAAGAAATTATTTATAAATGCAAGGCCTTTGGCATGATGACATCACAATGAAGAAGTGGTTGTCTGTGAAAAATAACAGCAAGCTCAAGTAGACATCTAGTTCGGCAAGCCTATGCAGATCCTGCTGTGATCTTTGTGGTTCTCCAATGCTCACAGGCCAATATCGGAATCAATGTGCATACATCTTTGTGCGAAGAAATCTGAACAATGCCGATCGTCATGCCAGAATGCCTCGATAAAGTCACTTCTTACGGAAAGGCATAAGCATGCTCGCCTCAAATATATCAAAGCTCATATTAATAACCCAGAAACATTTTGGTAAAAGGTTTTGATGAAACCAAGCTAGAGCATTTTGCGAGAAACATTAGGTGGTATATCTGGCGAGCTCCTAATACGGCTTTTAAAGAGAAGAATTTGATACCAACCATTAATCATGGCGGTGACAGCATTATGATTTGGTGGGGGTTGCTTTGATGCAGCTGGAACAGGGAAAATAATACGCATCGATAACAATGGACTCTGCAAGAGACCAATTTTGAACGAAAGTGTTTTGTCCTCGGTCCAAAAGTTGTATTTAGGTCGGAGCTGGAATTTCCAATAGGATAATGATCTGAAACATCAAAGCAAATCCACAATGGGTTCGTAAAAAAGAAATTTCAAATCTTGGAACGGCCAAGTCAAAGTCCTGATCTAAGCCCAATTGAAAATCTGGGATTCAAGTGAAAGAAAGCAGTATATGCAAGAAACCCAGGTAATATCGAACAGTGGTGGGAGTTTTGCCAAGAAGAATGGTAAAAAAAAAAAAATCGGCACTCACTACTGCCAGAAACTTCTTAAAATTATAGAAAAAGACTGATTGACTTTATGACCTCAAAATAGAGCCCCATATTTATGAGAAAAGATCTAGAAGAATGGCCATTCAAAATGACCTTCATTACACGATTTGTTAAGAACGATTTTCGTAGTATTTATTCGGCTTACTCAATGTTTCAATATTTGTCAGTCGGTTTTTCTGTCTTTCATTTTTTGCCTTTCTTTTTCTGTTTTTGTTTCTTCGTTTTAATGACAGTCACACTCTCCTAATTTTCTTCCAATTTTCTCTTTCATTCATATCACGTCTCTAACATTTGTTTCTTTTATAGACATTCATATAATTCTATTCTTTCTCATTACGTTCATCTTTCTTGCTTTTTTTCACATATATTTCAGTACTTCTATTTTTCAATCTCATTATGCAACATAATTAAAAAACAAAACAAAAAAAAGAATGGCCTCTACGGACATCCTTTTTTTTCTCTTCTTTTTTCGATTCTTCTTCCCCCCCCCATTTTTATTTCATTTCGCACTTTTTTAATCGTTGCTACATTTTGTTTCCCGTCTTTACGACCTGCTTTTGATTCTTTCGCATATTTATGTAACGTTTTTCTTTCTTTCTTTCTTTCTTTCTTTGTTTTCTTTTCTATTCAGCTTCTTTCTTTCTTTCTTTCTTTCTTTCTTTCTTTCTTTCTTTCTTTGTCTGTTAGCACCACCATGCAACTTTTTCTTTCTTTTCTTATTTTTTCTTTCTCAGTCTGTCTACATCTCTATGCAACTTTCTTTCTTTCTTTCTTTCTTTCTTTCTTTTTTTTTCCATCTCTATTCAGCTTTCTTTCTTTGTTCGCATTCTGTGTAACTATTTCTTTTTCTTTCTTTCTTTCTTTCTTTCTTTCTTTCTTTCTTTCTTTCTTTGTCTCTTCGCATCTTTATGCAGATTCTTTCTTTCTCAGTCTGCATCTCTGTGCAACTTTCTTTCTTTTTTTTCTTTCTTTCTTTCTTTGCATCACTATTCGGCTTTATTTGATTTGCATTCTATGCAACTCTTTCTTTCTTTCTTTCTTTCGTTGTCTCTTCACATCTTTATGCAACTTCTTTCCTTTTTTTCTTCCTCAGTCCGTTTATATTTTTCTTTCTTTTTTCTTTCTTTCCATCCATCCAAATTAACTCTCCTTCCATTTTTTTCTTTCTTCCTTTGCCACAAGTTGTAATAACTCGTCTGTCATAACTCGTATGCCCAGTGTACCGAAGCCCTCTGCTTGGTCAAGCGACAGCGAAGTTCAGACGCTGGAAGAAGCAGCTTCTACCATCCCGACTCTGACACCCCGACCCCTAGCCATAAGCAGCAGCAACAGAACTATCCTTCGCAATGATAGAAGTTTGATAGCTAGAGTGGGGGGCGAAAGAATTGGTACCTGAGTCAGGGATGGAGACAGCTTGTTTGGTTTTCTGCACTTGTCTTCTGATCGGCGTTCGTTCATCCAGTCCACCGAAGTAGAGCGAGGAAATGAGAGCAAGAGGGGGGAAAATTGCAAAGCAGAAGGGGCGCCGCTCAACTAAAAGTGTGACAGAAAATGAACGCATGCGCAGACTGATGTGTACTTGTATAGACAAAATCAGCACGCATGCATAAACACATGGCCAAAGCACTCGAAGTTATGTAGGGAATTTTGCACGCACTTTTGCGTGAGAAGGTTAACTCACAACGTTTGCATTTTAATTAAAACGCAAAAACATTCCTGCAGCCATTTAGTGTATTACAATAGGTATGATCTATCTATCTAACTATCTATCTATCTATCTATCTATCTATCTATCTATCTATCATAACTTGTTCATTATCTATCTATCTATCTATCTATCTATCTATCTATCTATCTATCATAACTTGTTCATTATCTATCTATCTATCTATCTATCTATCTATCTATCTATCTATCTATCTATCTATCATAGCCTGTTCATTATTTATCTATCGATCTATGTATTTATCAAATTTTCTAAGACTTCTTTCCTCATCATATGCCCTAAAATTTTCAACTGTTTGTTTCTCATATCAAGTAGAATTTTCCTTTCTTTTCTTTAACTTTCCTTATAACTTCCTCGTTGCTTGCAACCATATTCTATCTTATATTTGACCGTTAGACCTTTCTTCTTGCTTTCTTTAGTATATTATGTAGACGTTCCTGTAGGTTTCTTTCTGTGTCTGCCATCAACACGGTATCATGTGCGTGTGTCACGTTGTTAAGATTGCACTCACCAACAATAAATCCTGGCAGGACGTCTAGTTGTCTTATGATTGCCTCGATGGAAAGGTGAAATAAATCCGGTAAGAAGATACATCCTTACTTTACTTCCCTTTCTATTTTTGTGTACTTAATAAGATACCTGATTATAAAAGATTATTGATTTATTAAGAGGTTCTTGAACTGAAGGACGTTATATTCTTTATTCTCATTTTAAGTTTCACGCTAAAATTACCGTGTAGTAGGATGTCAGAAGAGACATTGCATTCAAATCTCACACCAGGCCAAAGAAGACTTGAGGGGAACAATCGTTTTTTTAAGCGTGTGAATATGAAATTTTGGACAAATGGGTATATAAACAACCGTCCTAGAGATGAGTTTGGTATCTTGCAGAGTCCATTGTGTTATCGATGCGTATTATTTTCCCTGTTCCAGCTGCATCAAAGCACCCCTCCCAAAAAATCATAATGCTGTCACCGCCATGATTAATGGTTGGTATCAAACTCTTCTCTCGATACATCGAGAATTTAAGATCTATGTATCTGTTGTAACCAAGAAAAGGTTACTGAATAGAATAATTGCGCGAAGGTTGGTAATGAACGATAATACTTAGGACAAGAAAAACTCACATAAGATTCGCCAAGGGCGCATAGGAGGAGTAGTCAACTGCTAGAAGCGAGTCAAGTGAATTCCACAATGAATCTCCAACTCTAGGATATCTACCAAATGCCCCACGCGGTCAGATGTGGCACAAAGCCGAATTTAATGTGGAGTATCCGAGCCCGTAAGGTTGGGTCAAAAATTCCCCATAGACCTTGTATAAAACAGAGTCGGGTAGCTGTTTCCCGAGACGAGACTCTGCCCTTCGACATCGCCTCGTCTGGGGATTCTCTCTGTTTGGAGGCAGAGAGTTTGACCGGCACAGCTGGCGACAAATCTCCAACATACAATATGTACTACTGTATTTATGCGAATGGGGACATACCCATTATCGTCTGTAGGTATGCTACAGCAGTATCAGACCTAGAACAACGAAGTCGCACACCACAGACTGGCGGAGAGTAACCGATGAAATTAGACGTTGAATAATATGTAATGTTAAATAACGAAAAATTCAAGTCTCGGTTTATCTTGTTGGTACGGCCAATTCATTACAGATGGATTCTAAGTTTTTCTCCTTGTACCGATCATTGGAGAAACATATCAGGAATATTATATATCAGGTTGGATCAGTACAGATCTGAAAATTTCTTTTTAAGATTATTGAGATGAGACTTTGTTTTTTTTTTATTCTTTCATCTTGATCTTGACCATAGTTCTGTTCTGTTTCTTTTTATTCAATTTCAATCTCCTCGAACCATTTTAGCTGCCTCTCGTACGAGGAAGTGCTGAAAATCTATCAGCTCGACCTTCTAAAATCAAACGAAATGACAGAATATTATATATATATATATATATATATATATAAATCTTAGAAATGACAGAACATTATATATATATATATATATATATATATATATATATATATATATATATATATAAAAAGAACAGTAAGATATATAATCCGGTGTTCTTATAGATATTTTTTTTTTTTACAAAATAGTGCTCAATGTAAATTTACAGAGTATTAATATTATGAATTAACTGATTTAAAATATGTTTTTTTTTCGCTACATAGTTCTAACCATGTTTCAAAAATGGAAGCTAAAAAGCTTCAATTTAAGTTTGTAATTAAATTAAAGACATTAGTTCCATTTCATCCTAAAAGAATATTGAGTAACTTTTAAAATTACTGGGTTTTAAAGACACAGCAAAAAATCATAATTCACATTTCCAAGAAATCTATTCATCCAAATAAGGGGTGTTTGGGTGTTCATTATCGCTGTATTTTAATGGAGAAACATATCAGTAATATTATATATCAGAATGCCGTAAGAATTTTTGCCTACCCCTACCAAAACGTAACTAATAACGGATACATGTAAATCCGAGGAAATGACAGAACATTATATATATATATATATATATATATACACACATACATACATACATATATATATATATATATATATATATGTAAGTTTGAGGAAATGACAGAACATTATATATATATATATATGATAAAATATAGTTTTAGGTATGCTATATTAAAGTGCGCAATATCAGGGATATACCTATGTAAATATCAAAGTGGACATTAAAATAAACACACAGCGGCGACAGTCTATTTCATACAATGAACAATGGTGAGAGGAAAAAAAATTCAGACCTTCAGTAATGGTACCATGTTCATACGCTGGCTTCCATCTTCAAAATCCATTCAAGAACCTTAAAGAAAACGATGAATAAGTTTAAAAAAAGAGGGAACAGCAGAGAGAAAAACTGGTTCAGAAGGTCATAACAGGAAGAGGGATCATCATTTCAACTTAGAGCTAAAGAAATCAATTAGAAAAGATCCAACTCAATCCACAAGACTTTTGGCATGTGAGAGAGGAGTTTCAGCTATGACAGTTCAAAGAGCAGTGAAAAAAGACTTGTAAATGAAATCGTTATTGAAACATGTGAAGCACCTTGTTACGCCAGGACAAAAAGTTTGAAGGTTAGAGAGGGCGAAGATCATAATGACTAAGTTGGAAAATGATCCTAGAGTAATATATATTTATCTGAACTTAATTTCCAATCCTTAGCTATGATTAATTAATAATGAACCATTTTCGTTTATAATCGATTTCATTACGATTCTTCTGTAAAGCTTGGAGAGTAATTATACATTCTTATTGCTGAAAGTAGAATCCAGTAGTATTTTAAAAAAACCTCGGAGAATTCCAGCAAGATATCTTTAATCATTTCTAAGATACAACAATTCAAATCTTAATCTAACCATTGAACAATTGTGCTTTTACACCTGATATATATATATATATATATATATATATATATATATATATATATATATATATATATACATATATATATATATATATATATATATATATATATATATATTCTCAGATAAGTATCTGTAAAGAGACAAAATGAATAAAAAAGAGACAAGAGGAAAAACTATACTTATCTTATATATATATATAATTATTTTTTTAAAAATATGATTCCATCGCTACATAAGAGTTCGCATGTTTCAAAAACAGAAGCTAAAAACTTCAATTCCATTATAGAATTTAAAATAAATTAAAGTACCTAGTTCTGTTTCTTCCTCAAGCGAATTTTAGACTAACTATTTTTTGAAATTTACGGAGCTTTATAAGCATATACATTTGTAATATTAATGTCTATGGATATGGCGAAAAACAGTCATTTTAATAAGGGCGGTAGGGTATTCATTTACACCCCCATATATATATATATATATATATATATATATATATATATATATATATATATATTTTTGATCTCCCCTTGGTAGGACCGAGAACTGGAAATTCACTCATCGGGTCAAGGTTAACACAAAAGAAAAGACGATAATTATATAAACTGATCTTCTTATTCTTTGTGCCGTATCCATTCAGGACGTTGGCGATCATGACTCGCCACAATATCCTGTCTGTTTTTTATTTCTTCTCAAACCTGATACTGCGATACTGATAAAAACTAAGGGTAAGAATATTGCACCCACCTCTGAAAGAGATGGAGGTCATCGTATATCGGTGGGGTGTTAAGTGCTCTCGGCTTGAGATTCTTGTCAGGCTTTCGGAAATGAGTCGAGCATAGAACTTTTCAGCGCCCTCTCATAGTGAGGCAAATAGTCATATTTTCTTTACACATTTTTAATTTTTTTTTAATTTTCCTCTCCCAGTCCTATTAGATGCCCTGTTGACCTGATCTTCGATTACACCAACTGAATTTCCTGCAGACCCCAGTCATCAAAAACAGCCACCTTTCCGATGGACACTTGCAGACTCG